TGTTGAGCAGTCTTGTTGGGTGGGTGGAACTTGTTATGGAATTTCTCGACTAACTCCTCCCAAGTTGTTATGGAATTTATGGGGAGTGAGTTTAGCCAAGTCTGGGCAGCTCCTGTCTCTGAGGATGGAAACAATAACAGTTGGATTGCTTCCGGAGTTACATTGGGCTGCCTTTGGGTTTTGCAGATTGACAGGAAATTCTTCAAATGCTGTTGAGGATCTTCGACTTGTGACCCCGAAAATAGTCCCTTGTTTTGCAACAAGTGCATCATGTTATTCGTGATTTGGAATGATTCAGCTTGTATCTGCGGGACTACAATCGCTGTGGCCAGATTTTCAGCTGTGGGTTGTGCCCAGTCATAGAGAGCAGCCTATGGCAGAAGCGCTGCCGATGGCGCTATAGGTGCAGGTGGGTTTCCTTCATGATCTCCCATGTTCGGTTCGATTTGTTCAATTGTTTGTTGTTGTTTGCTTTTCCGGTTGGCCCGGTTCAAGGCCTTAAAAACTTTCTCGGGATCAGATAAAGCTTCGAATACTTCACCAGTTCTTGTTGAGTTTCTAGGCATGCACCTATACAACCAAGTCAACAAACGTTAAAATTTCAATGTATAGATTAGGTATAGAGAAAACTGACTACACTAAGAATTTCTGTATTTCTTTCAATTGTAATTGATAACACCGTTAATTCCCCGACAACGGCGCCAAAATTTGATCACGCCCAACTATGCCTTATAAAAAGGACACTCGAACGTTGCAAATATAATCTGAGTATTTAGCCCAGAGTCGAACCCACAAGGAATTAACCTATCAATTACTTCCATTAGACTTACCAAATTCCACAGAATTAACTTCCCAAACGTTTTGAATAACAATTGAATATGTTTCTACTAACTAAGAATGAATGTAAATAAACAGTTGTAAACTAACTATGATTAAGTTGTAAACAATTAAGAGAAGGATCTAAGGTTATGATTTCGCCTATTGATGGAATCCCTTCCGGTTATGTGTCATATAGAATTGCCTAATCATCTCTATCAATCATGAGCACTATTATTACTGTAAATATCTCCCGAGTAATCACGATAATTTACTAGACGCTCTCTCCCGAGATACGGTAGCTGACTTTATTCATTACAGCTCACTTTAGATTGCACCCAAGGCTTCGTTATCCCTAATTCCACCTTTAAACCCGCAGTTATTGATCCCTCATATACTTTGGGAGTGGTGTTGTTCAACAATTGACCTAAATATGCACTTTCTCTCGAGTTATGCACACTAAATAGGCACAACTAATTGAGGATTCTGTCAATTAACTACAACAAGCACATAGTTGAACAAATAGAGATTAACCCGGCAAACTATATTAACATAACAAGAAGTTCATTCTTCAATAGGTTCCATCAAAACCCTAGACTAGGAAATTAGCTACTCATAACAAAACAAGATAAAACTACTAAATTATTCATAATAGGCAATTGAAAAATAATAAAGAGAGGATAGAAGAACTCTAATGTTTTGCTATTCTTCTCACACTTGTTCTTGCCTCCAAAGTAGTCTAAAAATAAGCTTAAAACAACCTTGGGCGAGTTTCTAAAGCTTATAAGGGTTTGGAACAAGTTTTTCTGAATTTACACTTTGGTCCCCAATTTCCTGGCGATGAACAGTGCACCGCGGTCGCGGCTCGACCGCGGTGAGCGCTGAGTATTCTGCCGCTATGACTTGATCCGCCGCGATTCTCCCGCGGTTCCACCGCTGTCGCGGTGGAATTTGCTCAGTTCATTTTCTTGCTTCTTTGTGCTCGGGTACTTCTTGATTGGGCGTTTTCTTCACATTATTGCCTCCAAAACACTCCTTAGTGCTTCCTTACTTAGAATATTCCATGCGAAACAAAAGAACACCATTTAGAGCATTTTGTTATCAATTTTCCTATAAAACAACAATAAAGCACGGTAATATTAAGGTGTAAATATCATCTATATAGCCTAATATCACATATGTAACATGATGCGTATCTTCTGAATCTATTACCCAATCACATAAACCTGTATTGGATAATAGAGAGATTGTACCGGCCATGTTGGTAAAGCAAACCCCTACATTAGTCTTGGACAACAAACTGATTGGCTATTTGTATTGTTCCTCAGTGAAGAGCTGCCCAGCTCCGTGCACCTGTAATATAGTTGTCTTTCCTTCCTCACTAGCTTCATTAACATTGTTGGCATAAACTTTTTCTCCACCAGGCTTATTCTTCCTTTTGCTTTTGAAGTCAGCCGGATATCTAATTATCTTGAAACAATTCTCTTTTAGATGTCCTTTATATCCACAATGTTCATAAATTAGTCCTGTCTTCTTAGGTCTGAAATCCTGACCTCTCCCAGCTAATATTGTATGTGGTTTTTTGTGTGTCTACGACACCCAAGGATCTTTGGCTTTCTTTTTGAGTGACTATGGCATACGCCTCATTCGCAGTTACAACAAGTCTCCTAATGAGCACATTACTCCTTATATTACTATAACTTTGATTTAGTCCCATAAGAAATTGCTATAAACAGTGTGATTTCAGATGTTCGACGCAAGGTCTAGATTTTTCATAGTCGTATGAGGGAAAAAGAGCTAACACATTAATCTCATCCCACATGTACATCATTTCAGAGTTATAACTAGTACTAGATTCAGTACCTTGCCTTAATGACGCAATAGCTTTCAAAAGGTGATGAATCCTTGTCAAATTTGATCGATCGAATCTTTCCTGAAAGTCATTCCACACTTTCTTTGTGTTTGATGCATACACAATTCTCGACATCGAATCACTCAAGACAGTGCTTCCAATCCACGACAATACAACAATGATGTGTTTTTCCTATTGCTCTGCTATCTCATATCTATAGATGCTTTTCATACAAGTTCCATCTAAAAACCCTAATTTATTCTTTTCCCAAAGAGCAAATTTCATTACCCTGCTCCACAATTCCGGCCCTGTGAGCTTGAGCAGTATTAAGATGAGTCCTGGAGCATTTGAAGGCTGTAAAAATAACAGATGATTGTCATCTAGCAAGGTGACTTCATTTCCTACCATAATTGACCAAATCAGAGTTTCGCCGGAACATTGTTCTTTTGAATTTTGCCGGAATCTCAAAAATTCAACACCACCTCGCTGATACCAGGATGAAATTAACTGATTTCTCTACACTAATCGTGCATGCAATCAATTTGGATAGAATTTTTGAGAGAGAAAGAAAATGGAAGAGAAGAAAAGAAGTTGAGAGAAAAAGACTGCTTTAGGAGTGATGACAATAAAATTTGTAGCAAGAAAATATAATCAAGACTAGGAAATATTGCAATAATCATAATACTTTATTTCAAATAATTTGACTGTTAAAATTTCTTTGATTCCTCTTTTCAACAATAAATAAACTCAAGGGCCTTCGAGCTTGTTCTTGAATTTGAGTTTGAGTTTGAGTTTATTTATCTATCACGAATGCCTTGACGGTCGCCATAAAAAGTAATTATGTTAGAAACGAGTAATCTTGATCTTGAACACCTTATATTTGAATTCGCTCGGTATTTCTTTAACTTGATTTCTTGAAACTTGAAGCTTGTAGAAATTTTTTTGGTGTTTGATCCACAAGCTCTCTCTTGATTCTTGTTGTTATTTCTGGTGGTTTTTCTGAGTTATGAAGACCCCTATTTAAAGTTGTGGAAGAGAAGAGTTGTGATGTGAACCAACTCTTTTCAACCAATCAGATTGTAGTGTGATGAGGCCGTATTTGATTGACCAAAACATGTCACTTGCACATACGGCGTAGTTTCATTGGCCTTTTAATATTACTTGGCATGCCTTGTCAATTTAACACCTGATATGATCTTATTGGCTCTTCCGTTTGACTTAGTGTGCCACGTCATTTCACACGTGGTACCAAGCTGAACCTCTAGGAAAATGACATCTTGGGTTTAATAAAGTGGGCTCATCACTTGTAGCCAAATTAAATGGGCTTGTCCAATGAAATCACACTTATTTATTTAATTTATATATATTAAAAATTTATATAATTAATTCAATTATATTAGCCCGTAATATTTATTTTAAATAATATATTTAAAATATAATTCAAATTATTTTATTAAATTTAAATCCAATAACTTTTGAATGCCTGCTAGGAGAATGATAACTGTCAAATGAAATGCACGTGAATGTGACCTTTTATAGCCGGCTAATTTCTAACCTCTATCTGCATACCAACTCAAAAGTTTCTGATATTGATCCCTTTGCTTGGTACAACTAATATTTGGGCCCATATGACAATAAACGTACTTACATTTAGGAAGTGAGAACAATTTGTGAATGATATATGAAACTTATTATTCACCCTGAGAATCCAAATATTGTATGTATTCTTTTAATTTTTAAATTAATCAGTCATAAGTAACAAGTTGAAAAAAGTAACTTTTTCCAAGAAGTAATATTTATTTTTTGTTTATCTCTTAATAATTGTTGCTTGAATATTGAGAAAAATATTTTTCAAATTGATTAACCAAATATAAAATATTATTCTTTAAAATAAAATTATACTTTTGAATGGCACTACAATTTTTTTTTTTTTTTTAAAAATAGGCGGACTCTGAAAACTTGATCAACCAGGATATAAATGTTGTCGTGTCGTGTGTTCGACATATATATATTTTGATTGCATAAATAGAAATTACAGCTTTTTACGGAGAGAAAAGGTTGAATTTTCCATCTAAAGGCCTCTCATCCACCGCTAGCTAGTATAAGTATAAGTTGAATTTTACAATATATTCTAAAGAAGGGGAAAAGACAAAAAGGTGAATGAGTAGTTTAATTAAAGAAGCAAAACTAGAAACTGAAATCTACCACTAAGGACGTGGAAGCAGCAGAAGGAAGGTGATGAAAGTGGCAAAGTGCAGAAGCCACGACGCATGCCACGTTCTCTTCATGCAGTAACGTTTCAACACCCTTTTAATCATTTCCCCTAAAAAATTGTAGTAGTTCAGAAAATATAGCTACTTTGTTAAATCTGTGAAGAGAAAAATGCCAGGCCTCACCATTGGAGATGACCTTCCTAATCTGGAAGTAGAAACCACTCATGGAAAGATGAAGCTCCATGACTACGTTGGTGATAGCTATACCATTCTCTTTTCTCACCCAGGTCGAATTCACACTCCCGTGACCCCGTCAATATATTTATGTGTCGATCGAGCCCTTTTTGACGTTGTTAATTATTTACTGTATGGATGCAGGTGATTTTACTCCAGTTTGTACGACGGAGCTTGGTATGATGGCTGCATACGCTAACAAGTTTGGTGAACGAGGAGTGAAGCTTCTTGGACTTTCTTGTGATGATATTCATTCTCACAAGGAGTGGATCAAGGACATCGAAGCTTACAACGTAAACAAACCGCGCACAAATTTCTACATTTTCATTTGAGTTCTACTAGCAGTTTTTATTTTATCGTTATTAATTGATAGTATTGTTTAATACGTGGCAGAATGGACATAAGGTGACATACCCAATAATTGCTGATCCGAAGAGAAAATTGATTAAGGAACTTAACATGGTGGATCCTGAAGAGACAGATTCCTCTGGCCAAAAAGTCCCTTCTCGTGCTCTTCATATTGTTGGCCCTGACAAGAAGGTTTACTACAACACTCAACCTTTGCTTTATCTCTTCATCAATCAAACTTTTGCTTATACTTTTTTCGTTTCTAGATGTTGGATTGTATTATCTTCTATTTTAAGTGGCATTATTATTACTATTTAGTATACTTTGAAAGACACCCAAATTACAAGTTGGAGTACAGAATTTTAATTTTTTTTTTTTTTAAATTCATTTGAATATTTTGATTATTAATTATTTTACTTGTATTCCATTTTACGTGGTACTATATTTGGAGAAAGTTTTCTCTATCCATTGATACTATAAATATTGTCTTGAAATATTTTATTTTTTTAACGATTTTTCTTATCTATTCTTTATGTTCTAAATATGTAAGGTAAGTTCTATTTCGAATTTCAAAAAATTTGAAGAATTTCTGTCTGAATTTACCCATCGAAAATTAATTAAGCAGTTGAAAACCACATGAACGGGCTACTGAATCTTTAAGCTATGAAATACGTCACCCGTAACAAAGGATTACCGTGGATTCAAAATAAGCTTGGTTATATTATATATAGATTTTTTTTTTTTTACACACACATATAAATTGAGTAATAGTTGAACGCATAAAACCCTGTCACAAACCCGTCTTAACAAAGAAATGTCTCTTTTCTAACTCGGGCTTAATTTTAATTTGTTCATGTTTGCAGATAAAACTGAGCTTTCTGTACCCAGCAAGCACAGGAAGAAACATGGACGAAGTGGTGAGGGTCATTGATTCCCTACAGAAAGCTTCAAAGCACAAAATTGCAACCCCAGCAAACTGGAAACCGGGAGAACCAGTAGTGATATCACCCAGTGTCTCCAATGAACAAGCCGAGGAAATGTTTCCACAGGGATATGACACTGCTAATCTTCCTTCTGGCAAAGATTACCTACGTTTCACTAATGTTTGAGAACATAATATATGAAGCAAATGTTTTACTATATAAAGTGCGTAGTTGTGGAAATAAGTAGATTTGGATTATATTTAGATCCTGCACTTCTCTTTTAGAAATTGGATGAAAAGTTTCTTTAGGATATTGTTGTTAAGGTAATTTGGGGCTGCTGGATTGTTTTAGGTCTTCAGTATGGAGCTTGTTCCTTCTTTTTCTTGTGTTTTACGTATGTCTCAGAGTAGTTGCTTTGAAGTGTATTTTCAAACAGTTTTAAGTTTCATGTTATATAGAATACTATATGTGTGATTAGTATTAATTTGTAATTTGATAAATATGTTGTACCCAGCAAACCATCATGTGCCTAAGTTGATGTGCATCTGGTCGATTTGTGATTCGATTCACTTTGTTTTATTCGGTTTGCTTTACAAGTTTTTTTGTACATAAATAAACTCATGATAGCAATACCAAAAACATTTGATTTTTTATTTGTAATAAGAAAAAATAACATTATCTAAATAAAAACGAAAAAATAATGTCAAAAGCATATTCAAATAAATATTTGATAAATATTTGAGATCTAGAATAAGAAACGGAAGCAAATATACTTTTACAATTTAAATAGATAATTGAACATACAGTGAAAATACAATAATGAAAATAAAAGAATTTAAGAAGAAAAGAAAATGGAAAGAGTTGAACAAGTCGGTCAAAAAGGAAGAGCAAATTTAGCTTTTGTTAGTGGGAGAATGTCACGATTACCGATAAAAATAAAATTATTTATCCTTGTTTACTCATTTATTTTTCTACCTATTAAATTAATTATATTTTCTATTCATACTAGTTTTCGTGGAGAATTTTTTCTTTATTCTTCAATTTTTTTTTTATTTTTATGCTTTTTTTCACCCATTTTCTTTTTTTTTTTCATTTTCTTCTTATTTTTTTTTCGTTTTTCCTTTTCTAGTTTCATTTTACCTTTTTTATATTCTTTTTCTCTTCATAGTCTAATTTTATTTACTGTTTTCACTATTTTTTATTATTCCTTGTTTATACTATTACTAAAGAAAAATTAAATTGTGTTTCAATTAAATGTAGCTAATACAATAAAAAAATATTAACTAACATATGATAACGGTATAGTATGTAGCTATACCAACAGGGTATACAATTGTACGCAAAGAGTTAAAAAAAAAATACTTATTTTTAATTTCAAAATAGCCACAAATTCAACAAACCCAATTTATGAGTTTCAAAGTTTTAAGGTCCTCCAGTGACAGATTAATGTTGCAGAAGTCAGAAGTCTTGGAATTCAAGTCATAGAATAAATCAAAACAAAAAAAGATTTGCATTTTCAATTTGCCCCTCATGTTTGATAAAAACTTAAAGCAAATTAAAAGGGAAAAGGCAAGTGAATTTACAGGTAATAAGTATACTATTATGGTATATTGTATATTATTACAGCATACTGTTACAGTATATTGCATATTATTACGGTATACTATAACAATATATTATATACTATAATAGTACTATTGCAGTATAACTATATACTCATATAATATATTGTATACTGTAGCGGTATACTGTTAGGTAACTGTTTCTTCTTCGAGTATTACAATATACCATTGCAGTATATTGTAAACTATAATAGTATATTGTTGCAGTGTAGCTATATACTCCTACAGCATATTGTATACCGTAGCGATATACTGTAGCATGTTCTTCTTCGATTTTCAGCTGAAAATTTCGATCTCAATCACATCAGCTCCAAATGCTATCAAATTTTAGTATGAACTTCCAGAAGGTACTATAAGCAATATTTAACAGCACCCACTTTAAATCAAACAAGAAATCTTGAAAAAAGCACAAAATAGTTGGAAATTCATCGCAGGACTAATAGATCAAAAAGCAGAGGCAATACTTCCTCACGTCTTTCCCTGTCGAGTTCTTTATAGAAATCTAGCACTCTAGCTTTCATATCCTTACAAGGAAATTAGTTTTTCTATAAGCTTATGCGAGAAAGTTATACGACAGAATAATTGGTATTTGGTACTATGCAATTCTTTTTGTTATCAGTGGACACGAGGGATAACTAGATAATCAAAAGGTTTACAACTTCTGCAACAATCCAAACAAAGTAAATCATATAGTTGGATTTATCAATTTCAAAAAAGGTACTATGGGATTTTTGAAATGAAAGAAATGGCTGGGTGAGCGTTAACTGAGGCACTGAATGACGGTAATAGTTTAGGTCGCATGGGTAGAAGAAGTAAATAATTTGGGCATGGGCATTAAAGCGTAAATAATGCGGAATTAATGGGTAAAGTGAGATTTTCCCTTTGTTAATATGAGAGAACCGGTATCACTACTAGAAATCCGGTAAAAAGCGACCATAAAAAGCGACCAAAGTTGGTCGCTTATAGGCCTAAAAGCGACCAAACATGCCTGGTCGCTATATTGCTGGTCCCTTTACTTTAGGGACCAAAGTTGGTCGCTAAATAGCGACCAACTTTGGTCTCTAAGGTAAAAGGACCAAATATTCCGGGTATTGACTATAGCGACCAACTTTGGTCTCTCTATTATTTTAATAATATAATATTGGCGACCAAAGTTGGTCTCTTTATGTAAATTACGTTTTTTTTATTTATTATTAATCATAAATAGCGACCAACTTTGGTCTGCAAAGAAAAATATTATATTTTAAAATCTGGAAAATAGAGACCAAAGTTGGTCGCTATACTATAAATATTTTTAATTTTTTTTAAAATAATCGACCAAAGTTGGTCGCTAACTTCATGAATTAATTTTTTTTTTTTAGTATTAAGCGACCAACTTTGGTCGCTATATTTTCAGAAATTGTTAATTTTCTGGGAAATAGCGACCAAAGTTGGTCGCTTTTTGTGAATTCTGGGTTATATTGGTCGCTATTTCCCCAGAAAATTGTTTTTTTTTAATAGAGAAGCGACCAAATAGCGACCAAAGTTGGTCGCTTTTTTGGTATATTGCTGGCAGAAACTGCCTGTTTTGGCAGCTACACCCCTGCCAGCTTACCAAAATTCCTAAATAGGCATTTTATGCCAACAACAACAACAACAAGCAACAACAACAACTAAAAAGCAACAACAACAACAACAACAACAACAACAACAACAACACAATAACAACATTATAACGAACAAAGTATAATGTTCAATAGAACTTTATACTTTAAGCTAACCAAACTAATAAGTTAACTGTTATTACAAAACCATTCGAAAACCGATTGTATTTGTCTAGTATAAACTAATAGGTTCAAAGATTGTTCTGTACATCATTATCATCACCGTCTGATGAACTTTCTTCACCATGACGGTATCCAGAATGGGCTATTTGTGGAGAATGGGAAGAACGATCATGGGGAGGACGGGGGGAACGAGCACGGGGAATGCGAGCCTCTGGCGATGACTCACGAGATCGAGGAATCGGAAAACTGCCAGAAGCTAGCAGAGATTTGATCTGCTCTTGCATGCCCTTGTACTGAGTTTGCATGCCAGAGTACTGCATATCTCTAAGCCTTTCTCTCTCCTTGGCGGCTTCTAGCTCGGATGTGAGCTTTTGTACAGTCTCCCGCATAGAGGAGAGGCTCTCCCCATCAAGTTGCTCGGCTTGGGAAGAAGTCCCTATTCCTTGCATTCCACACTTATAGCGATGGAATTTCTTATTAGGAAGCCCGTATACCTTCCCCCATTTTGGACCGCCAGCAGCCTGCGTCCACATTCTCTCAGCATCCTCGTTCGATAGTTGGATTGGCGCGCCCGACTCATTAGGTGGCTGACTGCGTATGAATTGCTCCACTTCAGCTGTGAAGCGACCCTATAAGAAAAATTATATTGAATTACTATTTCAAAACTTATATAAAAGTAAATCAAAATTTTTAATGAAAAGTGAAAACTTACATGTACAGTCGAGGTTCGGCCCTCGACCCACCTTTCTTGGTCCGTCTCTTTCTTCTTCTTTACAATATGAGTCTCTTTGAAGAGCTCATCTTGGTTCATCGGATGCCCCAACTTTTTTTCCTGAAAACTCATAAATTTTAGTTAATAAACAGAATACATATACTTGAAAATTAAAATAAATTAAGCAATTACGTACCATTCTTTGTTTTATCGTCCTTAGGTTGATCGCACCTCCAGTGTGCAAGGATCCTCCCTTCTTAGATGCCCGGGCTTTCTTTCCTTTTTCGCTCTTCTGTAAGAACTCTGCTGTAAGCCATTGCCTTTGCAAATCATCCCATAAATTCTGAAGCAACCAGCCAGGCTTCTGGTTCAACCGCCTAGCTTTGGAGAAACAATGGGACAACTGCTTTCGAGCTTTTAGATGGAAATTTGCAGCCACTTCCGCGCTATAGCGGTGTTCCCATGCACACTTGCTCTGTATTTCAAAAGTCAAGTATTATATGAAAATATCATATTTAGATGAATAAGTATTAGTGCATTAGCTAATAAAAGCTAAGTATTAATGCGCTTAACTTTTCAATAATTATATATTAACGCGAAATATCATAAAAGCTATATTCGATATATTATACTTAGTTTTATTAGCTAATAATTATTCAAAAGTTAAGTGCATTAACTGCTTATAATATAATATTAGCAAGCTAATAATATTATATCTTAAAATATTTATACTTAAATATTAAGTTCTCTTAGCTAAATTCGATATAATTCGATATATATAAGCTAAGCTATATTCTATAATACATATTTAGATGGACATATCATAAATATAAATAATTATATTGCTTAAAAGAACATTTATACCTTAAATTGATTGAAGATTGCCTCCTTCAGCGAGAATGGGAATTCACTCCAAGTCGCATAAGGACCATCATAAAGCTTTCTGGTGGCTTTGGTGATGATCCTTGTAGTAATGTTACTAGGGATGAACCTGCAATTTAATAAAAAAAATACATTAATAACTTAGTAAAACTGTACAAAACAAAAAAAGTAAAAATAACAAATAACTCTTACCCGTCACCCTCAGGGACTATGATGATCCTGCCATATTCATCATAGTGCACCTCCTCGTCACCATCAGCATCATTGTTCGAAGCATGTATATTGGAGGCATGTGTGGAAGGTGTAGGGGGGTCAGAGCTAGTATCTCGCAGGCGAAGGCCTACAATAGATGGAGTCCCAGATGAAGATGGCTGCGAGCCCTGGGACTGCGAGCCGTGGGAGTGCGACATAGCTGTATGGGCCGCAATGGGATGAGACACAGATAGCTGTGACCCGAGTGGCTGTGACACGGATGGCTGTGATCCATGTGGATGTGACATGGATCGATGCGATCCATGAGCTGCTGATGGATGCGATCTATGTGGTAGTGAGACAGGTGGAC